CATCATAGAATCATCTTTGCTGGTGCAGCGTGTGCCACCTATCAAATGATGCTACAATCGCAGGCTTTTTGAACAGAAGGAAATGAAGGTGCTTCACAGGTTTCACATATGATTTCATTTTCTAGTCTTTTTTCACTGCTCTTTGGACCGTCATAGCTGAAACTCCTCTCTCACATGCCAAACGTCTTATAGACTGACTTGGATCTTTTCTAATTGATCTTTTTACCTCTAAGTTGAAATGATTCTTCTTGATGTTTCTCTCTACTGTTCCCTCTTTTTTAAACTTATTCATTGTTCTCTTGATGGTTCTTGTATGGACATTGAAAACGGAAGCCAGAGTATGAATGTTGGTACCATTACTGAAGGCCTGAATGATCTTTTTCCTCTCAGCATTGGTTATTTGGGAAGACAGTGGGTCTGAAACAAAATGATTTTAACCTGTTCTCTTTCTAGCTGAATGACTCAAAGGGTTTTTCAGTGATTCTTATGACAAATGGTATCAAGATAGCTAACCATCTAATCTGGAAACCTGGTAAAAAGAAACTGAATTAGTTTAGTGTTTTTTTAGATATTATACATTTTGTCAGATAGCCATTTATGCTGTAACATTATTTGAACAATTTTGCTGTGATACATGGTGTGTATATATATATATATATATATATATATGTCCATAATTTTGTTTTGAAACAATGGATTTTTTAATTCTACATTATTTCTTATTGATATAAATGTTATATATCTACTAAAACATGTCTATCTACTAAATGTAATATTTAGAGCAAGAAGAAAGATATATATATAGATATATATATAGATATATATATGATAAAATATAGTTTCAATGTAGGCTATATTTATGGGTTAAAGTGCCTACTATCTGGGATAGTGCGCATGTAAATATAAAAGTGGACATTGAAGTCAACACCCAGAGGCAACAGTCTGTTTCCCACTTAAGCACAATCATCAGGCCATCAACGATTGCATTTACCGTCAAAAAACAGAAATTTTGCCTCTGAGTGCTGACTTCAATTTCCACTTTTATTCATATATATATATATATATATATATATATATATGTGTATGTGTGTATAACATTTATAGCAAGAAGATATATGTACAGGCATCCCAATTAATATGCTTTTGATTAGTGCGATAAAATTTTTATATACCAAAATTCAGTTAGTACATACATTATACTTGATTAGTGTAGTAAAACATTCTTCATTTTAACCATAGTAATTGAAAATTGATTTTTTTATAGTTACTGATGTGAACAATTAGCCACAGTAATCGAGTGATTCCTGTATATATATATATATATATATATATATATACACTGACAATCGCAAAAGCATGAAACCCTGGGTCACAAACTCACATCAATCCAACTGAATATGTTAGCTCTATCTCTGATACTGAGCACTTTCCAATAAGTACCACGCATATATAATATATAAATAATATATATAATAAATTACATATATATATATATATATATATATATATATATATATATATATAATATTAGTGGTAAATATACACATACATATGCAAAATATATAAATATATATACGTACATGCATACACATACATATATATATTTTTTTGAATAAAAATTCAAGAGGATAGAATCCAGGTAAAACTCAATGTCCAGGACAGAGTAAGGATATAATAAAAAGGCTTAAACACTAATATTCCATATAAGTATATAAGTATATAATTGGTGTATATGGAATGAATTCCAATAACCAGCAATTACTATTCTTAAAAGAGTGCTCAATACAAAGTAGAGCAGATATAATTATTTATTAAAAAAATTTATAACATAAATATGTTATAAAATCACTACAAAAATAGCCATTTTGTTTCAACACCTCCGGTGTCTTATCAAGTGATGATGTTGAATGTAAAATAAATGGTTTTAAAAGTTTCGAATTAATTAACAATCCTTCACAAGGGGAAAACATTGTTACAAAAGCTAGAATGACCAATCAAAATACAAGTATAGGAAAATTCAAAAAGCTTGACAATGAAGTCATGTTATAATAACTATTCAGATCTTTAAAATACGGGTAATATTAAAAAAGAATTTATTCTAACCAATAATTATTAAATTATATGATAAAATTTGATATTAAAATTAAAAATTGCCAATTTTAAAATCCAAATTTAATCACTATTAAGTTTAAAATTATAAAATTACTGAGGAGAAAAGAAGAAATACATATGTTATTCAATTTATTTCTTTGTTGAAATTACGTTAGAATAGACACTATGTCATCCGGTCCTCTGACAATATATATGTATACATTTTAATCCCAAGTGTGTGAATGGGGTCCTAACCTCATGTGTAAAACAACACAAACAGATTATAATACATAAGCACCCAGACATATTTATATATATATATACACACAAAAAAAGTGACGAGACAGGGAACCACTCCACAGCCCTTTATGAAAAAAAAAAGAAAAGGGAAACCAACACATACATACATACACAATTAAAAGTGAATGCACTTTCCATACACATAGACAATGATAAATACATGTACACACATCCACAGACATTGACCCAGACAATCAGATACCACAACCAATAAATATTTAAGACTGAAAGTGTCATTAAACAAATGCTAACCACTTATAACTTAAGCGAGCAAATATACAAAGATAAAAATGATTAAAAATAATATTATTTAATATGTTAAAAAACAAAAATTCCAAACTCACAAATATCAATAAAAACATATATTTTAATCAGATAAGTTGAGAATAATTTTATTATATATTAAGTGAAGGAAAATAAGATAAAAAGAACTAACTACAGAAACAAGTGTACAGTCATACGTATATACATATAATGATATATGTATACATATACACAGAAATATGTTTACATACATCTGCACACACATATACATAAATGTATATATATATATATATATATATATATATATATATAAAACATTAGGCAGCATATGATTTACATACAAAGAATAATCACACATAGAATTAATCAGAAGTATTAATGCGATTATTGGCGACATCCATCGCTAGAAAACATAATATATGCATTAAAATCCTGTTCATCCATAGTGCGAGTTTTGATCCTTTAAGAAAAACTTGTTGTCTGTAGTTTTTCAGTTTATTTGATGTTAAAATGCTAGTACTTACGGACAGTCTTCCATCCATCATCAGGCATGTGTTTTTTCCTTATAAAATCAAAAACTTGAGACGATATACCTGTATGTCGACCGAAAGATGTTTTTTGTATATCTGCTATTATTGACGGTTGTAAGATATCGGAACGTGCAAAGACGCAACGCTAAGTTTTTCAACATTTTTTAAGTGAGAATTTTATTTATATATTTCTTGTGATGTGTTAAATCCACGTATTCTATTTTTACAAGTGTATACAGTTTTTATGTCATGAACTAAGTATATAGTTCAATAATATAGTGTAATGTCATAGTAGTAATTTTTTTATAGGAATTTTTTTATGTACTGCAGATCGATAGTTTTTAATAAACATAAAACATTAGGCAGCATATGATTAATACATAGAATTAATCAAGTATCAATGCGATTAAAGAAAACATAATATATGCAATAAAACTGTTTCTTCAAGGATCAAAACTCGCACTATGGATGAACAGGATTTTAATGCATATATTATGTTTTCTAGCGATGGATGTCGCCAATAATCGCATTGATGATTTGATTATTCTATGTATTATTATATATATATATATATATATATATATATATATATACGCATACAGGCACATTTGTCTTTATTCAACACCCACAGAGCCCACCTGTGGTTTATACTGCAACTCTGCTGAGCAGACCTTAGTTACAGTTTCTGGGAAAGAGCGCGTTATCTAGTGTGATCAACAATTTGAACAAGGCCAGCATGCTCAAGCCCTTGGTCATAATGATTTGTGGCCTCATGCTAGCACAGCTATTGACAGCCCACAAGGGTCCCATCTACCCAATTACACTCACAAAGCTTAGGTGTGGTTTTAGGCACTTTCCAAAGGTGCCGCATGCTGGGATTGACTTCGATCCTGTCAGATAACATCAGAAAGTCTCCTGGTGAGATTCAAACCTGGATCTCATGGTCAGAAAGCGAACTTTCTAACCACTTGGCCATGCGCCTATATATGTTATAAATTAATTGATTTAAAATATGGGTTTTTTTCACTACACAATTCTAACCCAGTTTCAAAAATGGAAGCTAAAAGCTCCGAATTTAATTTTGTAATTAAATTAAAGACAATAGTTCCATTTCATCCTCAAGCGAATTTTGAAGTAACTTTTAAAATTACTGGGTTTTAAAGACACAGCTAAAATCATAATTCACGTGAATTATGATTTTAGCTGTGTCTTTTGAAATGGAATTAATGTCTTTAATTTAATTACAAAATTAAATTTGGGGCATTTAGCTTCCATTTTTGAAACATGGTTAGAACTGTGTAGTGAAAAAAACATTTTAAATCAATTAATTTATAATATTAATGCTCTGTAAATTTACATTGAGCACTATTTTGTAAAAATAAAAATATCTATAAGAACACCGGATTATATATCTTACTATTCTTTCTTTTTATATATATATATATATATTTCTTAAAGAAACAATGGAATTTCAACCTGTCCAAGTTTTTCTTCTATATCCTGATAAATTTTATCCTGAACATCCAGGTTCATTGCTATGGTATGTACAAAGAAGGACAAAGTGGTTGCTGTTGACTCAAAACCAACCAAGAAAAAAACATGCATTGGTCTATAAGCTTTGAGTGCAGTTTTAGACATTGGGATATTTATTGATAATCAATGGAATCTTTTAGAATCAGGAAATTCTGTAAGTAAAATCATGATTCTTTAATTTAGAAAAATATCTCTGCATGTAAAGCGAAGCCAGGATGAATGATAAACAATTTTGCAGATTAAAATGACTGACCTGTCCAAGTTTTTCTTCTATTTCTTGGCAAATTTTATCCTGGACATCAGGGTTCATTGCCATGGAGTGAGCAAAGAAGGACAGAGTGGTTGCTGTGGTGTCAAAACCAGCCAGAAAGAAAATCATACACTGAGCAATGACCTCCACATCAGTAAGACCTGCAAGAAAATATGTATTATGTATCCATTAAACAGAATCAACAAAATAAATAATATATAATCAATATGTTTTTCCTGTATTACTCCTCTGAAAGGCAAAGTGTAGGACTCCATTGGTAACCCCTCCCCCCAGTCCCCACCACCTTCAAACCATTTATATATTTCTTAATGGTCAGAGTGTTGTCAGTAATATAAGAAAGTTGTGAGTTGAACACAGCCATAGTTTTGAGTAAGGCTGGAAAAATAGAAGACTCCTTCCTTTTCAGGTTTGGACAAAGGCTGGAAGAATATAAGACTCCTTTCTCTTAAAATTTGGACAAATATAAGACTCTTTCCTCTACCAATTTATAAGTAGAGACTTTAAACAGGCCATTCTCTCTTTCTTATGTCAGAAATATTTTTCATTTTGTAAATAAATATTTATAAATTCACAATGACAGAATTCTATGAACATGTCCTTTCCCATTTTTGCTATATATTTCTCTATATTTGATTGAATAAGAATCATATATCACAATGCTACACTAACCAATATCTGACAATATCAAATTATTTTAGGTTTAGCCAGGTCACCTTGCCAGTGAGTTATGTTTAATAACAACGAATCTTCCTTTACCTCTTTTTGTTCTCCAGTCTGTTATATTTTCCAGTTTGAGTTCTTGTTCAGTTTTCTTGTCCAACTTTTCATGGCCTTCAAGTTGTGCATCCAACATCAGTTGCAGTAGATCTTTACGTGTCTGTAATTTTAAATGACTCAAATATAACCTTGAAAAAGAAATGTTTCCTTAGCTATGGCATCCCTCATTTTTAACATGTCTCAACTGAAGGTCATTTTTGCATTAGAATATAATGTTATGTGTCTTTTCGAATAAGTTGGATTGTGGATTAAGCAAGGAAACTTTAGCAAATGTCCCAAATTATGTTGGAAAAACATTTCTTAACAATATGAATAGAATAATAATTTCCCCTCGTCTAAATACCCAAATATTAACAATCATTCAAATATATTTGAAGGCAGCTGAAATACTTACACTAGTGTCTTTAGTTCTTCTTTTTTCTTCAACCAATTCTTTACAAAAATTAATAAAATATCTCATATTTCCTAATAATATGTTAGGGTTAATGTAGTTGAGTATTTTTGTCAATATAGGAAAAAATACTGCAATTGAAAACAAAGAAAAAAGAACATTAAGTTTTCATTGATGGCAGAAATATAAAAAATAAATTTTCAAAGAGCATTGGTTTATATCCTAACAGTAACAATTTAAAAGTTCAACTTACAGAGAAAATAAATCATTTCAATCTGGAGAAAATAAATAACTTAAATCTTGAGAAAATAAATAATTTAAACCCAGAGAATATAAATAATTTAAACCTGGAGAAAATAAATCATTTAAATCCATCAATGCAAGAAAAATAAAAATGTTTCCAGTTTATCACTCTTGACACAAATATTGAAGCAAATTAAACTTGGCAAACAATTTAAGATTTTCTTTGTTAACATCCAGGCATTTACTGATTAGCTTCCTCTATGATAGCATTGAACAGACTTAAAATTTAATAGAAACCTACTTTGCTGGAAGATAAAAATGTTGGCACAAATACCAAATTCCAGCACAAATAAACTACTTTCATTTCACTTGGATTAATTCTCCTGCCCCTTCATTCCTGGCATTAGGAATGAGTCAGACAGAAATATTTTATCTCAGAAAACTGTTTCCTCTGTAACACATTTCTTCATGGAAGCATGCCAACAACACAAATAAGTTAAAAACAAAATAATGAGAACAGAAAGGGGAATTTTCGCATTTAGAACATTTGGTCCCGACAAGAAAATAATTATCAACTTTCAGATGGCTCAACAACAGTTGAGAAGAAGATTAAAAAAAAATAGATTGAATAGTGAACTTTATATAACAAGCACACAGTGGATATAATTTAAGAAAATAAAATAAGAGGATGAAAGAAAAATACAGACCATATTTAAACATTTGTATCTTTTATATGACCAATCCATATTGTTATAATCTTCCTAAAATCAGATCTTCTTCTGATTCGTGTTACATAAATTTCCACTACTGGCCAGATGTGAACAGTCTGAAACCCAAGACTTAACTGAAAATTCCATCAACTGCACATCGGCTCCACACATAGCTTCCATTTTACTTACACACTCAAAGAAAAATACAATCCAGAATTTCCACCCAATAACACCCATTCCCTTTTAAAGAAACAAAAATAAAAATTGGAGCTGATCTGAGCCTAAGAAAAAGACAAAAAACCCATCAAAGGGACATTTTCGTCAGTCGGACGGCACAACAGCCAAGATTCACAACACCTGATCGGAACGCGACTTCCCATCTCCAAAGAAAACTTGCCAAAGGTCACCATCACAGTAAGTCACAACTTACCTTCCCTCTCCTACCATATGCCTCTGTGGATGACTTTTACAATTCTACTTATCTCTTTCTTTCAACAAGAGACATTTACACCAATTTACCATTTGTTGTATTTTTACGTTAATACAATTGTTTATTTCTTAAACCTCCATCGTTTCTTTGTTCTGCCACCAGACACTTAATATAACAATATTCTACTAAAAGCTTTTCTTACCCAGACACTCTTTAAGGACTCTCATTCAATTGCTTTCACTAGAATCACTTGGTAAAACAAATAAACTATATTGCAACAAAGAACATCTTTAGAGAAAATACACATTCAACTTTCTTACATGCACTCCCATTCAGTATAATTCTATGATGAATATTAACTAATATTAAAAAGTGTGATTTTTCTACTTTTAGAACAACCAATGTAGCTCATTCTACATACAGGGGGCTATGATAAGCTTTTAGCCACCCTTAATTACAGCAATTTTGGCTTGTGTAATAACGTATCTTTTTTTCAGACACAACCATGTTAGTAACAAGTTATTCTAATCTATGAATGATAGTTGACTTATATTTTGCAATGTAAGTTCATGGAAGTAATGAAATTGGTGAATTTCAATGGGGGCAAATAATAAGATGGCATCAGTGTGGCAAGTTAAATTGAGCAATTGCTAGGTTTTTCCAGGTTAATCATCAAAGGGTTAATAATATTGTCAAGAAATTTAATGAAGAAGGCCATTGTTGTGTGGAACAACATTCAGGAAAACCAAGCATCATGTCTGAGCAAACAAAAAGGGCACTGAAGAGGGAAGTCATCAGAAACTGTCATCAGAGCATCAAAGATGGTGCCAACAGCATAGAAATGTCACCATATGCAGTGAGAAAGACTCTGAAATAGTTAGCCTATCAAAGAAGAGTTGCAAGAAAGAAGTCCTTGATTTCAGAGGTTAACAGAAACCTTCGTATGGACTGAGTGAGAGAATTCAAGAGCAAAGATTATGAATTTCGGCAGTCTGTAATTTGGTCAGATGAAAGTAAATTCTGCCAATATTCTAATTCAAAATTGGTTTGTGTTTGGGAAAATAATAATGAGACTTGGAACACTGAATGTCTGCAGGTGACCGTGAAATATGGAGGGATTGGAGTAATGGTGTGGGGCGCTGTCTGGTTTGGATGGAAATCTGAGTTGATTCTTGTTGATGAGTGGTTGAATGGTCCAAAATAGTGTCAAATATTAGAGAAAGGACTATTCCCACTATTTGAAACTTAGCAGATTGACAAGAATGTCTACCTTTTCAAGAAGATGGAGTGCCATGTCACCTGTGCAAAGTAGCAAAAGCCTGGAAGGAATCTCAAGGAATCAAGTCACTGCCATGGGTAGCTCAAAATCCTGACATGAATTCAATAGAGCATGTTTGGGAGCACCTTCACCGAAGACTTCGAGAGCGTGCAACCAAAATCACATCAGTGGCAACCCTTAAAGAAACATTGCTAAAGGAGTGGCAAAATATGGCTCAGACGATTGTTGATAACTTGATTGAATCCATGAAAAATCGAATACAAGCACTGAAACTAGCAAATGCGGGACCTACTCCATACTAATTCCAAATACTGTTTATTTATGTTAAGTAGGGATTATGTAATTAAATTTTGAAATTGGATGTAGTTTATTTCTACTGGCTAAAAACTTTTCTTAGGCCACTGTTTTCATCTTTTTCAATAATAACATTGCAAAAATGATTAGAAGAAAAAATGTTAATAAAACTGTCTAAATTCTTTTATCTCAAAATGAGACAGAAACTAAACATTGCTAAATAGTTATGATCATCTGATGAGTAAAACCAAATCATATGTAACTGGTTTCCAGTTTTTGCTTCAGAAAATACATTTGGTTCAATAAGTTTGCCTACAATGCATGTTAGAACTGTTTGCTGATTAAATTACTTACCAGCCAGTGCTTGGATTGATTTTAAAACATCAACTTCAAAGACTTTTTGAGCATTTTTGACGAGAGGGCTGTCAGGATTTTCCTGTGAATCTACTTCAATTCCAAAGCCAGTTGATGCAATCACGTTCATTGTATAACCAGAAAACAAACTGAAAAAAAAGAAGATAGAATCAATTTGTATAAAATCAATGTCACAAAATGCAAAGTAATTATTGTGATATAATTATGCAAATCCCAGTAAATGTATTCTGTCTTTAAAGAAACATTCTCATTTATTTGTTAGAAGTTGAAGTGTGATTCCTGTTTTTTTAAGCAGCTACATGATTATTTTCAAACGCAAAATTCTTTCTTCTTTGAGGCATAATATATTATTCTCCAAAAAAATGTTTAATATCAAGAGACATAGTCCTGGGTAAGATAATAAACAACAACTGGCAGCAAGTCCTCTAATGAGGAGATTGGAGGTTTTGAGAAGCATGGAACCACCTTTTAATTTCTGTTGGGGTGGTAGCACCTGTTAGGGTCCCAGCTACAGGCAAATAGTGAACTCCCCAAACAAAACACTATGAAAGTATAAAAGTACATTTTTATAGTAAAAGTACATTTTTATCATAAAGTATCAGCAAACACATTTTTATATAAAAAAAAATTGCCAACAATATATTTTATCTGTAGTTGAAGCCATAAAATTGTTTTCAAAACATTTAGATTTTGGCATTAAATAACCAATAGAGGTTGATATGTCACTAAACAAAACCAAACAACCAACATGAAAGAACTCTTTTACGACATTAATTCATATAATATCCTACAATTTCTTAAAGAAATCAAACTGTATTTCAAAATATAACATTAACTCAACTACAAGATGAAACACACATATCAATGCCTCTAGTAATTATGTCCACACAAACATATATATGCACAAAAGCTGAGTATCATCTACCATGTATTCAATTGTGAAAGCAGAATAAAATAGATCATATTTGTATTACTTCAAAGCTCCCAATAAATTTAAATAAAGAGACAAATCAATCAAGAGATAATATGTCTCTCTTTGGAAAGCCAACTTTTTATAGCTCAATGAAATTAACTGAAGATGTATTGTCCATGTTTCTTCCTATTAACAATTGTGATATTTATTCAAATGGTACAATCAGAAGGAAAAAAATTCTCATTGAGAATACAATCAGATGATCCTATAAGGTTGATAAAGAAGTAATACTGGCCCAAATTTTATTATAAAAGTATTGGTCAGAATTTCTAGAATTTTTTCTTGTTATAATCCATAAAGTGACTAGAAACACAAGAGAAAAATTGTGCAATTATCCTCTTTTGTCCGACTGATGACTGCTTTCAGACATGCATAGAAAGCAAAGAGTTTTCATAGAATTTCTGTTTCTGGAAGGAGAATAGGCTTCTGTTATGATGTTAATTTGGGGTTAATAAAGACAAACGCCAAATAACATGTAACAATAAAATGGGGTTTATTCGGTTGGTAAGTTGGTACAGAAATCGCCTGAGTAGTCTATAACTAACTCAGCCCAGAACTTCTCCCACACTCTTTAACGTCCTTGTTTGTAGACGAGTTCATCTTCAAGAGGGGTGGTAGGTTCCTACACAACACCTCCCCCTTGAGATTACTTCCGGAGGAATTAATATTTTTTTCTTTTGGGATCTGGACTTAAACGTTCCACCTCGTTCTTTTTTCTTTTTGCTTGTCCTTCTTTGAACAACTGTTTCAGGCAATGGTGGAGTC